TAGAATGAAGATTTAAAAAATTTGCAATAAATAGAGTCGAAACAACGGGGTTTGGAGTTAAAAATTCTTAACAGTTCAGTATGTTGCACACCGTCTGAACTATTGTATATAGCAAGGTCAATTATGTAATACAATTATTAATATTAATATTTAACAATTTATCAAACCACGAATACGATTGCTCGTCTTTCAGCAAACCCTATAGTTAAACTTGCACACAACGTTATGCTGTTATGATTAAATTAGGGGAGGGGGGTTTTATTGTTAAAAATTGTTTAATAGAATCGGATTTCCCCAGTTTTCGCTTCTGCAACGTGCCATTCAATGGTCATCGCGAAGAATGAGATAAATAAAACGTATCATGCATGAGAAATTCTATTAGGTTCGGTTTCCAGCATTTTTTCGAACAATCTTTTTCGGTTATAAGCTGGCTTTATTAAAATTAGATTTGTTGGCTAAGTTGAAGATTGTTTAGCGTGACATATGCTTTTGGTGATGTTACAGAGACAGGCATTCAGGTTTTCTACACGCGTATTGTCAGTAAACATATAGGTAAACATGTAGAAACATAACCAAACATTTTATGAGGTTTACAAAATTAGGACCTAACTAATTCCAATATGTCCAATAAATGCCAAACTTTTGATTTACTTCGTCCCGAGGTAAAATACGTGCTCAGGAACCTACGCAGCGTCGAAATTCCATACTGTATTTATGTCTAATACATGCTATTGGAGGTACAGTGAGCTATATGAGCTATGATCTATTGTGACAAGGAAAGGTGAGCTAAACGTTTCCATTCTTCAAAATGGGTAGCCAGTCCAGTCCAGACATTATGTGTGCATTTCCGCTGGCTGAACGCCCTGGAGCACGTAGCCGGCGCCGGCGGCGACATCATAAACTGTTGTGGGAGTATTGTACGTTCCTTTTTTAGTTGGTAAACTAAGATTACAAGCATATACTGTATGTGATAACCTCTTACGTCTCATAGATATTTACTACAGAGCCCAGGTGAAGACATAAGTTGTGCAGAGAAGGGACGGATCAATGAGAGGCCAAGGTCAGCAGATAAGTGATAACCTCTTACGTCTCATAGATATTTACTACAGAGCCCAGGTGAAGACATAAGTTGTGCAGAGAAGGGACGGATCAATGAGAGGCCAAGGTCAGCAGATAAGTGATAACCTCTTACGTCTCATAGATATTTACTACAGAGGCCAGGTGAAGACATAAGTGGTGCAGAGAAGGGACGGATCAATGAGAGGCCAAGGTCAGGAGATAATGATAACCTCTTATGTCTCATAAACGTAAATTTACTACAGAGGCCAGGTGTAGACATAAGTGTGGCTAAGAAGGGGCGAATCAATGGGAGGCCAAGGTCAGCATATACTGTATGTGATAACCTCTTACGTCTCCGAGACGTATATTTACTACAGAGGCCAGGTGTAGACATAAGTGGTGCAGAGAAGGGACGGATCAATGAGAGGCCAAGGTCAGCAGATAAGTGATGACCTCTTATGTCTCATAGACGTATACAGTATTTACTATAGAGGCCAAGTGTAGACATGAGTGAGACAGAGAACGGACGAATGTATTAAACTCATCTCAGTCAATATAAAACAACTTTGTCGTTTACCGTCATTTTTTTAACGTCAGTTACGATGCCTATAAATATATTAACTACAAACCACAAAGAGCACAACCATTGACTATTTATAAGCTCAAAAGCTCTGTATATTAACAGTGAACGTTACAATGTTTGACCTGGCGGCGGGAGATGATCACAAGAAGGAGAGGGGATGTATCGGATACTGGATGCATCCGACACCCGACCTCGAGATGACCTTGCCTCGTGCGTCACTGTCAGGTGAGCTGGAAATGCTGGGATGAACCTTACGGATTATCCGAAGGACAAACGATAGTACTCAAACCTAATAAAGAAATTTACCAATGATTTAATATAACCAATATTGTAATTCGCGAATTCTACACCTGCCCTCTGACAGGAGTGGGTATTTAGACAGAGGTTATAACTTATCTTCTAACCTTGGCCTCCCATTCATCCACCCCTTCTTTGTCTCAATCATGCCTCTGGCTTTTGTAGTGCCGATTGCTTAGTCGATGAATTTATGGCTATTAATGAAACCCCCTCAAATTGTGAGTAACGCAAATTTGAACCAACAAATTCAACAACATATTTTCTGTTTATGACTGGCCAGCAACCCTCAAACTGTACGTAATCCATCTAATTTACAGCATCGAACATTGAACAATATCTGTTCTGTGTGACGTGTTCATTTTCCGGGTTGCACCTAGCAAATGGGGCGAGATGAAATGGAATGCCCCCTAAAATAACCGGCGGCGGCGGCGGCGGCATGTCAACGACCTACAGCGTACAGCTACTCCAAGAGCGTGCCTCCGTGCCACACCGGACCGGCTGAGTGCTAAGCTCTGCTCTGATGGAACATGTAAATTCCAAGGTCTTTGACACAAGGCGCGCCGCGCCGCTACGAGTCCACCTACAATAACAAAGCCGCATACAACTTCCGAGAAAAATGAAATCTCTACCGGCACGAATATAAGCCGATGTCCCACGACAAAATGTTAATATTAGATTTGGGTTCCACTGGTGGAGAAAATTCCATACTTTGCATCCCTTTGGATATATATTTTCTTAGTTAATTTTAATGGGGGACGAGTTTTGCTCAGGGGAACCTCGTAAACATATGGTAAGAATAAGAAAATGACACTTCACTATCCTTAACAACAACAAAATGTTAATCCTTACGCGATTTAGTCAATTAATAGATTCACTCAAATAGTTTGAAACGTGATTATTGATTTACATGTATGTTACTACATATCTGGACGCGCGTGGACCCCATACCGCGTAATGGGTTTGTTGACGCTTGCATGTTACAAAACCTTCCGATACATCAATTGATTGACTGGATAATCACTTGCGCGTGGATGAATAATGCGTACAAGATAGAAAATATCAAGTAAGTTACGTTGTAAAATAGTTCGAGAGATCAAATGCTACCACAGTGGCATCTCGATACTCCGAACTTAGAATGAGGATAATCTTTGCGGAAATGACTATTCATTCAGCCTGAGTCTAAAATGACATGAAACCGATTTTATGTAGAAACTAGGATATATTTTTCAGGGTTTTTTTCCAAGGATGTTAGTTTAGTCCTCGATAAGAAGGTCCAACAATAGCATAGGTTATCGCCCCCTAGTATTACCTCGTATGTAGAAATCTTCAACTACTATAATAAAAATATGTGATTTTTTTGCTAGTAAAATCAAAAGGTTTCTTTTTTTTCTTTTTAGCCAACATTAACAATTATTGTTCGTGAGCAGATAGTAGACGTAATATAGGTAGTAAAAACGTTACCCCTAAAAGACATCGAGGAGAAATAACATTATCGAATTAAATTAAATTAAAACCAATCTTCGTTAAGAAAAACTTAGGACCTCGTGGTTGACTTCTAAGTTAATCTGAGGTATTTTAGATATGGGTTACAGTCAAATCAACTAATTGGTAGTAAATTAAATAACAAATACAATACTAAAACCAACCACGGTACAGCTCGCCCCTAAAATTCACGATTTCGAGGATCGATATGTTATGATGAAGACTATCAGAAGTAAGGAAGCAAGGTCTAAGCTCTTACGCGAAGATTTTAAACCTAGACAACCAGATTCTCCTTAGCTTTTCTTTCAGTGTTACATTTGATTTCCTCGCCGAGGAGCTCGGATGTATGACCCTGTAGTGAGGTTGTTGACCGTCCAGAGCGGTGACGGCAACGGTACTACGACTGCGACAAAGAAGGCAAACCTAGGAAACCCTTAGGAATTTGCATTTATCCAAAGATAACATTTATCCACGATAGAAACTTGTCTAGAGGTGTATGACTTTATGCACCTAAAGATAATGATCACTTAGGAACCCTCTAGGGGTTTGTCCAACTTTTGGAAGAGCAAAATAACCTTTTTCGTAAGAGTTGTTGTGGGAAAGCATATTTTCACGAATTCTACAAAATTGGTATATTGCGATCTGGTTTAGGTGAAATTTCATGGCATGATTATTATATATATTCCCACTTTTAGTAGGCTACAATAAAAATCTGTTTTGACCAAAAATAAATAGTACAAGCAAGCAAGCAAGGAATCTGGTACAGATGTTGGGCGTATCTTCCTTTTGAACTTACTAAAAGTCCCCTAAAATTGAAGCTGTGCTACGGCCGCCATCTTTGTATTTTTCACCATAGCTGCTTTATTATAAGATAATGTAGGCCTACAGCAAAACGCTTTATGTAAAAAATGTAGTCCATTTAAAAATACACCCGTTTTTGATAAATTAAAAACGTAATACACTAAATCGCAAATAACTAAAAAATCTTTGCGTTTAGAGAAAAAATGATAATAATAAAAATGTGTATTTTTAAAAGACTAAATTATTTACATAATGTTTTGCTGTATCTCTAATAATAAAGCAGCTATAGCATAAAATACAGAAATTAGCCGCCATTTTCCAAGATGGCGGCCGTAGGACAGATTCAATTTAAGGGACTAGTATGTGTAGATATAAAGTCAATGCTAGTATTTGCAAATGGAAGATATACCCAACATCAGTACCAAATTCCTTGCTTGTACAATTTTTAGGTTTATTAAATTGTTAGCTTGTTTTTACTGCATTGCTTCTACGCCTTTCGCCTTGCTGCAAGAGTAGTTGATTTTATAAACTTAATTCAAAAAGTCAGATCATTTTGGCATGCAGCTTAACCACAAAATCCTAACCTCAATGTTGTAGGTACATTTTGTTGGACACAATAATGTTTTTTTTTTTATTCCGAAAATTTGGACAAAATATAGTATGCAATTCGTGATTAGTTGTTATTTTATTTTATTTTTTTATTTACACACGTGACTTTTCGTTTAAACAGTATCACTTTGCTCACTAGTTGTACAGACAACAATAAGCTAATTGTTACCTGAGTGTAACACCAGTTCTCGGCGACGGGGGTGTTGACTTCTTGGGGCGGGGGGCTCGGAACCCTGGAGACAGCCATACTGCTGGACCCTGGGTGGTTGGTAGATACTCGACCAGCCTGCGGCGAGCAGTCACTCACCACCGGCAGTCTGTAACACAAATACAACCATCATTCAACACAACCACAAGAGAAACAGTACTAGAGTGAAAAACTGAAAATGGAACCAAGAAAATATCTCATACACGTGGTTTTTGACAACATAGTTGAATTCAAACCGCGGACTCTATAGTGCTTTAATTGTTGCCAAAGGTATACTGTACTAGGGGGACAATACCAACCTAACCTAACCCAAACTAAATGTCGCCTGAGTTTTCGGGTGGCCCCTAAAAAGATTCTGGGAAAACTCAACAACATTCGTAACAACTTTGAGAACCCCCCCCCCCTTCCACCAATAAAAAAAACTGAATGGTGGATTTTACTTGGATATATTACTTCTATCAAACGAAAGTTTACGTCAGTATAAATATTTTCGCTGTGGGTTTCTTTAAAGATGTAAGGTGGTTTATAATTATAGACAAATGTGATAAAAATGTTATGCTACTTTGGTACTTTGGTGATAAACTGACCACACCTAATAATTAAAACCTAACATAACCTAAGGGTGGACTATGTTTTAGGTTAGGTTAGGAAGATTTTGTTATTTAAGCTTATTAAAATCGTATTTGGAAGTCGATTCCAAATACGTAACACACGTAGGTTTGGTGGGTTCGGTATAACACCAAAGTACCAATGTGATGATTAAAAACAACCCCTCTAATACCACTGATTTTGGAATCGGTTAAAAAAGTGTAAACCTCAATTTTTTTTAACCAACACTTGTCATCACTGTCTGAATTCATGTTGGATGATTACTTGTAAAAAAATAATAATGTTCAACACTAAAATTAATCCACGTAAAAACAATAGGACATTCCATATAAGAAACCATTTATGTTTTTAAATCACTGATAATCTAGTAAAACTCTCATCATCATTTCTTATAATTTATTAAATAGTTCATGATTGATGTCGAAACATACTTTACGTAAATCCCACTTTTAACATTAGCAGCCTATCACGGAGGAAAGGGGAGGGAAATGGAGGGAAATTGTTGCGGGAACGGTATCGACCGTATGTTGCCAGCCCTGCGCACCCCCTCCACTTGACCTTGCGATCAGCTGTTCAGAGTTTGTTTCAATGTCGGGCTTCGGGCCTTGACTGAAACAGCGTGGCATGGCGCCTCCAAGCTTATTAAAGTACAAAGTACCAAGCCACATACACTTTGTGAACGGAAATGAGTTTAGTCACTGCTGCTATTTGAGGTTCCCTACTTTTAGCGAATCTAACCAAGTTTCCTAATGTCCCAAATAACCATTTCTACAGTACAACCTCAAAAAAGTCACTCGTAGTTGAATTCTTATCGAGTTTGCAATAACATGTAACTAAGGGTAATATAAAATCAAGGATGGACTATTTTTTTTAAAATGACACTTGTAATCAAGGCTCACTTGTTATCGAGGGTGGTGTTATTCTTGTTATCGCGGTCCCGCTGTAGTTAGTAGATAATGACTCAATATAATATCTGGAAAAATACATTTTACTATGGATATTGGACTATATTTACCAGATTTTGCTACCTACTGTTGCCCTAATATGGGAAACCTATCTTGATACAACAGTAAATATTTAAAAGCCTATTTCGTGGCGAAATTTTTAATGATTCCATATTATCGATTAATCCGAATTAATAAGCAGAACCGGACGACATAACAGATTTTTGTGGCAATTTACAACTATCTTTTGAGCGATATGTTAACACGTTCGCTACTGCAATAGTACGAAATTTTCCATTCACATGGACCAGCGACGCACATATGCGACGGCCGGTTTCCACCCATAGACTGCCGTCGCATATATGCGACGGCTAGTCACATTAAAATAGACTGCCGACGCATATTTGCGTCGGGGTTCTAATGTTATTAAAATGCTTATATCTTTGTAGTGGTCTATTTGAAGGCACTGAATTCCCTGCAGTGGTCTACAGAGATGTCTGACGCACAACTGCGTCGCTTGGTCTGTGGATATGATGATTGGTGACGTCATATAACAGTTGGAAAAACTGGCTTTTACTTTTCTGCATCACTGTATGTATGTATGCAGTACGTATGCTGCATTATCCTATGTAGCTTTTATATTTGTTCAGTTATAAACTGTTCTTGAATAATCTGTTTATTTTTTTACTTACTTTCACCTTAAAACACAAAAAAATGAACTGTCGCATATATGCGACGCTTAGTCTATTTCAAGAAAACTATGATAATTTTCACTATTGTCTTCGCTGTAGACCGGGCGTCGCAAATATGCGACATTACTAAAGGTTATAAAAAATACAAAAAACAAGAATAATTTTATACAAACACGATTGTAGCGTATTACAATGTAAATGATCACTGTTTTACAGGTTTTCGCCCGTGGTCTGTGTGTACTGTTATCCAAGTGACAGCCGGTCTGTGTGTAAGATTCAAATGTATACCTCGGTCTGTGGCAATGACCGCGGCGTCGCATATATGCGACGCTCAGTAGCGAACGTGTTAACAGTTTGTCAAACAGAATCAACTGTACTGTAGTAACCGTGTTACGCTCTGCTTATCTTTTTATGGCAACTCATTTCGAGATTAATTGTTTAGCAGTAATTGGAGCCTTGAAAAGGAATCCGAATGTAGATCGGAACTGTATAGCTACTTTGTAGTAAGTAGCAAACATTTTAGTTTGCATATACAGTATTACGATTACACGTTCAAACAACAGTAATTAATTCCTATTATGAGTCACATGATACATGGATAGAGTAGAAAAGAGTATGTATGTATTACAAACTCTGTCTTATAGACGTTTAAAAGGGAAGTAACTTTCCTGGACCAAACCCAACTATGGACATTGATCTTTCAAAACGTCTTGAGGACATTGTAGAACTGAAGAAATCTAAATTTGATATCGAAGGAACTAGCGTCGAAGGAAACAATTACGATAAACAACATACTATTGAGGAATAAATGTAAATGTTTACCCAGTAAGGGACATCAAACGAGCTATTTTATTTTTTACTGAGTATATCAGAAAAAGTCAGCGAACCAACAATTAACTGTGGACAAATGACAATTAAAGAGCACAATCTTGCGTGAGGACCCTATACTGTGACTGTGAGAGTTATAGATGAAAGCTGCAGGGAGATTACACAAGAGAGGTGGGGGTGGAGGCAGGAAGAGAAGGTGAAGCTTTCATCCCGACTGTCCCATCTCCCTTCTACATTTATATAACATCATTGATTATCCTCTAGATCACCACGCACCTTCCTACAGCCACCACAATGGTTGGTAATGTACAAAAAAGGGGAATCCATACCATACTAAAACGTAGAGGAAACGTAAGCAAGGTGAAAGTTTTATTTAGAAAGTCAGTAATTATTGGGAGGTGGTGTAGTGTGGGACTTCGGCCCCAAAGTCCCGGGTTCTAATACCGCCAAATCACCAACGGGTTTTATCCAAGTGATAATGCCGCAATATAAAGTAATGTGAAAAACGATCCCGAGCTAGAGCTTATCGTCCAGACATAACCGTCTGTGACCAAAGAATTACTTGAATAGTGTCATACATCACTGGTTTTGCTAGTTATGTCCCGGTTTCCCGAACGGTGTCTTCAATACAGTATTTTACATACATTGTAAACACATATGAATAAATGCAGTAGATTGCGCAGCATTGAGTGGATACAAAGAGCGCCTGCGCCTACTGACATGATGTAATCTGATAGTGATATGTCGATGGAAATGGAAGTGGTCAGAAGCCCTACGTGAGAATGTATAAACCAAAAACTCAACCTAAATTCTCATATTTTCAAGTTAATATTTTCACGAACTCTTTTATGAAACAATATGAAAATATTGGAAGTTTAAATCGCTTAAAACCATCCTAAAAAAATGTAGACGAAATGTTTTTGATTTATTTCATCCTTTGTGTTTTATCACCATAGTCAATTTTCCATGAACTGTCCAAGTCATTGCCTTGTTACCATTGTCATTCTTAGAGGCAATAGTATTGCAGAACTCACTAATTGAAAACGGGATCACTTACTGAAAGGCTTTTTGTAGGACACCTGTGTTTTGCTACAAAATCGATTCATTTGTTGCCAAAATTAAAACACGGAACATAGGTTGTTAATTGATAGCGCGTCTGGATCTATACTTAACCCAAGGGGTTGCAGCGACCTTACGATTTGGTGAGCACTGCTTTTGAGTTGTACATTTTGTGGTTTATGAATCGTTTATGAATATAGAAAAGAGTAAATTTCCATACTCGATTACTACATTCGTGGATACTTCCCCCAAAACACTTCCAGTAAACCGGACTCTAGGTCCCCCACTTCAGACTAGATTTTCCGACAGCTCGGAACACTAATTTCCAAAATTTGCAGGGACGTGCCAACCCGGGGTTCTTTGTGCGTTGGCCTTGACGGGAGCGAATGACCAAGGGTCAACGCACGAAGAGCTCCGTGGTCGTTCACCCGTCGACCCCTGATGAGTCGCCAAACTCTCCGCCACTTGGCTATCCCCGGGGTTTTGGATATAGAACCCGAGCTAGCCCTTACAAAATATTAATTTTTTTGAAAGTCAAACCAGAATAGCCGTTCCACGGAGAGTTGTCACGGAACTAAGTGCATAAAAAACCCGTAAAATCGAGAGGGCAAAAATAAGATTGGGGGCCTTAAAGTTGAACCGAATTGAAAAGCAGACATGGCAAATATAATTCTGTCCCATAAACGATATTATAATACTAGTTTGGATTTAATTTAACTGAAGCAATTACATGCACACTTTATCATTAATTAACATTATCTATAATAGAGTATTTAACACAACTTTGAATATTTAGGGGACTTGTTATTAAATGTTACATGTTTCTATTACTTTTTCTGAAACATCTTAATGTTTCATCCAGAGATCTTCACCTGATATTATGTAAGAAATCGGAGATGAAAATGCTTGACATTTTGGGATTTTTTGAAATTACGGAACTGCAAGAGGATTAGGGAATGGTCAAACAATTTCTTAAA